GAGCAAGCAGATACAAACCTAAGCAAGCATATTGCTGAGCTCATTTGCTACAGCTTTACTAAGCAAATTAAAGAGCAATGCAATGATCAAATTAAGGTCAGTTATGATTAAATTGATAAATCAGGAGAGCCAATTGCTATATTAAGACAGCAGGTAATCACCATTGCATCATGAGGTGACAGAAGAAATTACTGTGTGTTAGCATTGTTTTGGGAGAAAGGAAGAGGCATTTTTCTATTAGTCAAGCACTTCAAGCTAATATAGCAAATACAGGGTGGTAATTTAGCTAGTGAAAGATAAAAGATTTAAGTGTTCACAGGACCCAGGTATCTGTTCTGGTATTCGGCTTTTGCCAAGCTGACAATAATCTGGTCTTGAGCACATTAAAGAAGTACAAAGATCTGAGTGCTCAGGCAACTTAACTTTAACACTTCCTCCTTCAGTCTTGGTACTTGGATATTACTTTTGTTCCCCTCCTAATCACAGTAACACAAATGGCTAGACTGTTCTACCTATTAGGTGCTCAAGTCCCTAAGAAACAGCTAATATACAAGGTGGGTAGATCCTTCTTCTCTTAGCTGCTTTTTTGAAAGCCTGTCATAAGGGTTAGAATGATGATGGTGTACTGCAAGAGTAGATAAATGAATAGATTTTTAAGGCTTGAACAGCGTGGAATAGAACCACACATAGGTGCCTTAGTCTACTTACGTGGGTATAGGTTGTAGCTGTGTTGGTCTAAGGGCATAGGCAGACAAGGTTCTTTGGGTAAATCTGATATCATTTATTAGACCAACTCAAGTAGTTGGAAAAATTCTTCTCTGCAAACTCAGCCTGACGAAGTGTATTTATACCCAACTTGAATTGTTCCAACTATTTGAGTTGGTTTAATAAAAGATACCAGATTTACCCAAAGAACCTTGTCTGCCTTAGTCTACTTAGGTACCCAGTAATTCTTTCTGGTTCAGAATCTTTCCACAGACTTAGCTTAGAGGTGATGGTTAGAGTACACAAACTAACATCTTCTGAATAGCACTACAAACTCTACTGGCCAATTCAGTGGCAGGAGTTCCCACAATCACCAATGCATTCACACATGCTAAGGGAAAAAGAGAAGATGGGTGCCCCTTTATTAAAACAAAGGTGGTCATTATGAGCTTGAACTTTTGCTTCATTCCTTCATGTCTTTAACTCACACAATTGTTATTTGCTAGCCAGGACCAGGTGGTATTGGCTGGTCAGAGCTTATCATACATGTGGGCTCTTTCCTCAGGTTGGAAGTGGGTCAGGCTGACTGTCTCCCCAGCTTAGGTCTTTCACTACTTCCCCTGGATGGCATAGCCTGGAAAGGGGCGTGTGTGTTGCTCAGGCTGTTCAGGGCAGGAGAGAGCAAGAGCCCCAGTTCTCTCCCACAATAGCTTAACTTTAATAAGGATTGTTTCCCATGGGTGCTTCCTCAGGGACCTCTTTTGTGGATTTGGGGTCAGTTAAATGTATCCCAGTGTATGGGATCATCACTGTGGCTCAATCCCCTTTGTGGGCAGTACTTAGGCCTTACATCAGGGTGGGAAGATCAACTGCTGAATAACCCTTTATTTTGCCACATCAGCTGAGTTGACCACAGATCAAATGTTCTTTCAGAATTGGGAAAATCAGGGACAGTCGGGGATTTTTGCTGCCAACTCTCCAGCTGAGGTAACAGACACAAGGCCCACAATCAGCAGAAATTATCTCTGATAAAAATACCTACTGACCTCATCAACACATTCTTGCATGCTGGCATTCTCTTCCTGGCAGCTGCTGCAGCTTTCTCAGCATTTCTTAAAATATTTCAGCTTTGTATTGACAAAGAACTGGGGAACTGACATAAGCTTGTAACTTGTGGCTTTTCACCTAAAACAACTTGCAATGTTTTTATATTTGATCAAGATAAATTATACTTGTACTTAAACAATTAAGGTTTCCTGGGCTCATATTAAACCTAGACCTGTGCTCTCATGACTGATGCAGTCAGTTAGTGGAGAGCTCTGGGACCACTCAGGGTGGAGAGTGCTAGCCTAAAATAATATCATTATTGTAGGCTTGGCCACGCAGTTTTGTGCTGGTTTTAACTGGCTTAGTGCAAGGAAAGATAGGATCAGAAGTTGCATTTGTCCCTGGTCAAGTTGTATCTGAGTTTGTCCCAGAACAAAAATATCCCAGGATTCGTATATATACACATCACCCTTCTAATCCATGTTTAGTGAGCAGCTAAATAAAGTGCTGCTTTTCTGCCATTGGGTCAGTAATGCAATCCTGGGATAACTGTACAGACAAATGTTGCAATATCCTGAGATAAACTGTTAACTACCTCTTATCTGGCAAACTTTTTAACGATTTATCCCAGAACAATGGTGTCTCTAGTGGGTTATGGAATAGAGAAAATCCCACACAATTTACTGATACGTTTTGATGCACTGGCTGGGGGAGTAGTTAGCTGATTGCACGGTTTCACAATGATTACACACTTAATTTATACAACACAATTTTATTTTAAAACTCTTTGCTACGTATATAACACTGCTTAGCTTTAAGAAACACCACAAACATTAAAAACACAATAATTACATATATCAGAAACAATGCTCCAAATGCACTTCCTTCCCAAACAATGCTATAAGAATTAGTGTTACAAAAACAACTACAATTACAACTAAAAGTTAAATTTGAATCAATACTGTTATTTTTCATAATATACTTACAATCCTAGAATTCCGAGAAGCCAAATACCCAAATATGGTTTCATTCCTCAGTAGTACGATTCAATGGGTTGGCCTCAGTAGTACGGTTCAATAGGCTGGCCTCAGCAATACGATTCAATGAGCTGGGCTCACCAGTGATAGGACTACGTCCCCTTCCTTCAGTCCCTTTCGGGCGCTCCGCGGCTTCAGCGTGAACTAAGAGATTCGTGTTCACGGAGAGGCTTGATTAGGCGATCAATCTAATCTGAACTTATACTTGCGATTCTTCCTTCGTTGTTCTGCAAGTGAAGTCACCTCCAAATTGGGACAGTAAGTTACAGGTTTTTATTGAGTGAGCTGCCGTCATTGGGCTCCTCCTACTCAATTCATCATAACTCCCAAATTTGGGCTCGGATCTTACTCAACAGAAATTACCTTTGTTGAGCATTTTTTAAATTATTCTTGGGGAGACTTCCATATCACTGTAAATACTCTTTTCTTTTTACCAGTCTGGTTAAAAGGCCCCAGGCTTTGATTTCTCGGAATTTAGGACATTTACTTTCTTTGTAAAAAACTTCTAAAGGTACAATTTAGATTAAGGTTTTAGGCGAAGTCAGGACATTTCGCACGTAGCTCCAAAACAATGAGCTAGATAAGGAGATAGATCCTATCTTCTTCCTGAAACTGGCTAATGGGCAACCTTTACAAACATTCAAACTATTTCATTCAATATGACAAATGGACATGGATGTCACCACAACGGCATTTTGTCCTGGGGTAAAATGTCTTATCCCAGGATAAATGCAACATCTCTTTGCCACTGAAGTGGTATAACTAAACTGGAGTAACCATCTAGGGCGCATCTACATGAGACATTTACTGCAGTTGCCAAATTAGCTCCACAGTAAACATTTCAGTGTCTATGCATGCAGTGCTATTAAGACAGAGGAAACTAATTAACTCTGCCATAGGTTTGTATTTTGTAAATACAAGTACTATCCTGTGGCAGAGTTTTTTACTCTATAGCAACACACGTGTAGACATTGACAGGGCTTGTTGGGTCACAAGGGTGCTTCAGTGTGGAAGCTGCCTGCTGGCTAGCCTCCACAGTGAAGCATCCTCATGCCTCAACCCGCTCCTCCGCAGCATGTTGAGCCAGGTCAGAGCAGCACCAGGCTGGCAGACTCACCCCTGGACACCTGCAAACTGGGGCTGCTCCAGCCCAGCTCAGTGTGCTGCAGGCCTGGGTGCATGTTGAAACATTGTGCCCAGGAGCAATACACTCCAGCACAATATGTGCCAAAGTTTATTGCTGCACCTTAAATGCACATGTAGATGCATCCTTAGTGTGCTTTCCTTAGTATTTTGGGGCCTATTTCTCTTCTAGGAGCATCTGTTCATATTCTGTCCTAACAGATTCCCTGCCACTGCAGTGGTCAGGGCACTGGGGGAATCCTTTCTCTCCCCTCCTCTTTACCTATTGCACTTTGCAGGGGTTTTTATGAGGAGCTTTGTGGCTATGGTCAGAGGATTTTGTGATTCATTTGCAACTTATACAATTGCTTACAATTGCAGAGGATTGGACTTTAAGGCCCCCAAAGCCCCTTCCAGTCCTACATTCCTGTGGCACGGTTACATTGGTACAAGGCGAGTCCACTGGCCTCACCTATATGGTAGTTATAAGGCTGGCTGATAGGCTGGTGAGTGCCACACCCCTTCCATTGTACAGTAGCTGTGCAGCCCAGCCATGATTTGCAGGAAGCGCTGAAATCCCTCTGTGTCCAGGCACGCATACTACTTTGGTCTTGGGGTCACCATGCCGTAGAGATTGACCCTGTTGAACCAGGATCTTCGTGATCCACAGCAAAACAGATCTATGGGTTGGGTTGTCCAGCTGACAGCCCACAGACTGCATGCAAACCACAGGTGGTGAATATGCAGGTCATGGCTCCCGGCAGCTGCCTCTCTCACTGCCACAGCAGGGGAAACTGGGGTTCCATGCATCTCAATGAGGGCTGGGGGGGCGGGGGTCACATGCTATTGGCACAGGTTGCACAGCAAGGGGAAATCCAGGGGGGTTCCTGAGTAGCCTACATGACAGGGGGCAGGGCCACAGTAATAGTAGCTGGGCAGAGGTGGTCTCAAAGAATATAAGGGGTGTGAGAAGGAAGCTGGTAGGTTGCTGGGTCTCTGCTGTGTCTGTATGGATGGTTTGAGAAAGCTCTGGCACACCGCAGCACAGTTGTGACGGTCCTTCTTCTTGGCTAACATGCATCCTTCCAGGAGTTTGAGCTGATGGAAAACATACTGAAGAGCAAACAAGAAGGGTCTGAATGGGACCAGCGGAGTGTGGTCAGCGTCCGGACTTCCTTCACCCGCCAGGAGAGGAACCGACTGCTCTGGGAGGACATGAGCGTCATTGAGGAAGATGCCACCAAAGTGACTGCCCTGAAGCTGAGGCTGGATGAGTCCCAGAAAGTGCTGCTGAAAGAGCGGGAGTGAGTGCACCCTGCTACATCACTTCCTGTGCAGTCATGTGACACACAAGGCAGGGCAGGGGGCTAATATGTAGCCTAGGCAGCTAGGCACTGAACTTGAGATGTGCCTCAGTGTGACGGGGGCAGCTCTTGAAGCCAGGTCTCATGCCGGCCCACCCACCTTCTATGGGGCAGTCTGCCCAGTCTCACCTGCCACAACTTTGCTGTTCTCAAAACAGAATCAGCCGCAAGAGGACCCCACCGGTCACTGACTGGTCGCTGGGGAAGGCATGCAACTAAGGTGGCACCAGTTGCCCATGCACATTCACTCTGCCCTCCTCTCACTAGGGCCTCTCGCACTCTACCCTCTCTCACATCAAGAACTTGTCCTGCCCTCCTCCCTTTTGAAGTGGCTCCTGTAGGCCATAGGCTTTATCTAGATCACACCTTGGGTGGCAGATGTACAGTCTTTTGGGCCTCTCCTGTGACCTTCACCTGGGTAGTGGCCAGCCAAGTTCCTGACCTGAGCCAAGCTTGCCCTGGCCCCTCCTGGGGCAGCTTTACATAAACATACACTGGGCCACCAGCCCTCTGTGGAGCCTTTCTGGGGCTCCACACTTCTCAACTTGCTCTCCAGGGGGTTGGCCCATGTGCTGCCCTTCAGGCTGTCCCACACCCCTACTCAGCACACCCCATCTGGGCTGCTCTTTAGGCTGACCCTCAGCCCTACTCAATCCTCTTCTAGGCCCTCCCTACCACCCCCTCTGTAGGGTTACACATCTACCCCATCCTTCAGGGCTTCAGGGTTTCCCTCTCCTGTGCCTGGCCCCATCTGGATCTTATCCCTCTTTGGGCTCAGGTGGCCATAGCTGTACCCACAGTTTTGGGGATAAGGGTTAAGGCACCCCAGCCTACCTTTCACCAAGGTGGTAACTGGCCTGGCACTTCCTGGGGACTCCCACATCACCAGGAGCCCTACCAGGCCACCCATTCCCAGCAGGGTGCAGTTTTAGGTCATGCCCAAGACCAAGAGCCTCCTAGCCATCCCCATCAGTTCTTGCCCTTACCTCATGGTTGTTCCTGCTGCAGCTCAGCTAGGCAATGTTTCTGCCTTTACTGCCAGCAGAAAACTGCTGTATTTATATAGGCAGCCAGTGTTTTAAAATAGTTGCCACAATCAAGCACCTGCTGGCTGCTTGACTCTCAGGTTCCCTAAAACTTGAAGACCCCTCAAGTGATCTCAAGCTAACACACATATGATGTGGTTCATGGCTGCTCCTGTTAACAGTCTGAAGCCAGGGGGAGCTCTGTGCTTTCCACTGAGTTTTTGGGCCCAAAATTCAAATGGAGAAAAATCCAGTTGACCAAGCCAAAGGGAAGTTTTATGCAAACCAAACCTAAACTCACGGCTGGTATCTGCGGAAAAAAAATAACTATGCCAATATGTTGAGTGGTATTATGCTGGTTTACACCAGCTGAGATTCTTTCCCAACAGTCTTAATGGGCAAATGACTTATCTCCACTCTTGTAGATGTAGATATATACTTTGATACCCTAGGAAGAAAATAATCCTTCTCTCCCAAGACTGCAGAGTCCATATCATCACCCATGGTACCAGTTGCAATCTGGCATGCCCACAAGTGGTCTTTAGGGTGCCATTTAAAAGATGTATGCCCCTAGGAGTAGACTTCAGTCCCTGGGATCGCCCTGGGGCCAGGTGCTGGAAGAAGTGGGAGCCTTATCTTAGCTCTATTAGATCTTGTCCCCCCATACCCTGTTGCCTCTGTTTTAGGGATAAATTGTCACTCAGCAAGAACATCGAGAAGCTGGAGGGTGAGCTCAGCCAGTGGAAAATCAAGTATGAGGAGCTGAACAAAAACAAGCAAGAAGTGCTCAAACAGGTGAGCAAGATGGTCTGACCACATCCCAGGTGTCCCAGGGATGCCTATATCACGTCCAACAGTGCTGAGGAATTTGATCTGTCCTGCATTGCACATGCCATGTAGCTCCTTCTAGGTGTGCACCCAGCACCACTGTGGGGATCAGGTTTGCTCAGGAGAACAGCTGCCCATTGTTCTAGCCTGTTTTCTCAGTGGTGCTCCTGAGCACTGTACAGTGCCATGCAAACATGCCCCCAAGTCCCAGAGAGGAGCCAGGGACAGAAAGTTGCTCAGATGTGTCATGATCTTGTCTGTGCTTGCAGAGAGGAGAGGCATGCACAGTTGACCTGGCCATTTCTGAAAGTCCAGAGGTTACAGGAAGGTGGGAGATTGTTTCATCGTGTTTCTCTGTCTTGAGTAACCTGAGATAGCTAATGTTTAGTATCCACTAGAGGGAGGCCCTGCTCCAGGAAACCATTCCACAAAGCCTGAGAAGAGCATTAATTGGCACCATTGACTTAACTAGGTATGTAAGTGAGCTCCTTGGTAGTATGGGGGTGTACAGCATACATTCCATGGGCCGGATGCAGCCCACCAGGGCAATCTCTGGTACTCACTATAATTCATTATTGAGCAAAAAAAGGACTTGAAAAGCTGAACAGTGAGTCCTACATCCTCACTGCAGGGCCATTTATTAATCCAGAGTTAGTTTGGTTTCCTGCTTGCAAAAGTGCTGCAGATCACACCCAATCGGAGCAGATCCTCCCCCCCCTCCCCAGCAGCAGTCTTCTATCAGAAGTAGCACCTTGCCAGTGGCCCTCAGTAAAGTTTGACTTGAGTGTCCTTGCTACAGTCACTGAGTCAGAAGGTAGGGGCAGGACAGGGTTCACTCAGGAGACAATTCCTTACTGGCCTGTGTAGTGACTGTGAGCCCACTCAGAGGTGCCAGTCATCCTACATCTTCAGGCCAGTCCTTGATCTGCTGCAGCGGCAGGATTTCCTGCAGAGTGTGTGGCATTAGAGCAGGTTCAAATGCCAGTGAGTGCAGCTACCTCCCACGTCCTTCCAGGTCTCTATCAGGAAGCAGGAGTCCCAGGCTGTTTCCTGTGATATCTTCACACCTGCTGGTTCCCTATTCAGCCAGGACTTAATGCCAGTATGGTGGTCCACAGTGCAAGTAGGCTGCAGAACCCCCTCTGCATGTCTCCATCTCCCTATAGCTGAACATCCTGAAGGAGCTCCACCAGGATGAACTGGGGCGGATCTCAGAGGACCTGGAGGATGAGCTGGGGGCCCGCTCCAGCATGGACAAGAAGCTGGCAGAGCTTCGCACAGAGGTGAGGGTGTGGGGTGTATGCAGGAGGTACCATCACCCCCTTAGGGCTGAAATGCTTCAGGCTCCTAGAAGTCTCTGGAGGCTCAACTCACAAGAAGATGAGTGAGAATGGGACATCCAGGCCCCTGATCTCATCATCTCAACCCAAATTTGTTAACAGAATAGCTTGAACCAGTGGAAGCAGGGTCCCAATACAGCCCCCATCCCTGAGCACTGCCTATTCAGTAATGTGTTTAGCCTTAGAGCACCCATGCAAGGTAGCTCAGTACTGCCATCCATTCTAGCAGAGGAGGGACAATCCTGCCTTTCTGCTTTGGGGCTTCCCATGTTACCCGACTAGAGAGCAGTCTGACTGTACTGGGTGTTGGTCAGTAGTAGATGGGGGCCATGTGGATACCAGGTCCTAGTCCCTGCTTTATGATGCATAGGCACCTGGGAACAACAACAGAACAAAACAAAATGAAGTTCCCTCTGAGTGTGGGGCGTCACAAGGGCTTGAATGCTTTGCTGAGGAAATGGGTCTTTCATTGAACCTTGGAAGTGGCAGAGGCATTTCACAGGCAGCAGAAGGGACTGGAGGCATTTGGGAGAGTAGAGAACAACACAGAACTAAAGAGAGGCAGATGAGACTGTGAGGGGAAAATTCAGGCTGATCTTAAAGAGTAAAGAGGGTGGGATTTAGGAGGGGGGCCAACCCCACGCTGTCCTGAACATCACATCCTCACTTGGGTTCTGGACAGTCAGCACAGCAGTGTCTTGTGGAACAAGGCTTTGGTCTTGGACGACAGGGGGTGCTCTAGGTCAGGGTAGAGATGCATTGGCAGAGCCTGGTGGACAAATGCAGGGCAGGACAGGAGAGCATTGACAAGTATGTGAGGAGCCAAGGCTGGGACAGCAGGGAGTTCTGTGGTGGGGGCTGAGAGTCTCAGCAGAGCTGTGGAGCAACAGGACTGGGACAGCTTGTGTTGCAGGTCAGGATAGGGGGCATTGGCAGAGGCCCCTGTGGGCTGGTAATAACCAAGAGTGCAGCTTGGAGTTGAGGCTGCTGGCAGAGCTGGGTGTGGAGATTCAGAAGTGGAACAGGTTGCTAGGGCACATCTGCCTTGGTTCTGGTCCAGTTTAGACTGCCCCATGTATCATGTGAGAGTAGAATGGAGATGAGGAGTAGCTGAGTGAAGATAGATGCTGGCTTTTCTTGTATTAGTGTCAGGATTGATCCATGGCTGCACTGAGTACATACACCCTGGATGTTAACACTGGAACACCCTGGGCCAGCAGCCAGCTGGGTTGACTCCTATTGTCCATATGCTTTGCTTATCAGTGAGCCTCCAACACGTGCACGTTTCCCAAATCCAGCTTGGACTGAGGTTGGGGTTCTGCACTTCCATGGGGGAAATTCCTATAACCACCAGTCAAGTGATATCTCCCTCTCATGCCTGGCCCACAGGGAAAAGAGAACTGTTCTGCTGCCAGGCAGGGGAATTACTCCAGTGGCTAAAGTGGAAGAGGCCTCTGTCTTGACCTTGAGTTCTAGTCCTAACAAAGGCCCGTGGTGGGAGAAGGGGTAACATCATGCACAGGAAGGGCACCTCTGTGGGCTACTTGGGTTGACCTTTAGTAACTAATACACAGTTACCCTCTGGCTTGGCATGGCATATGTGTGTCTCTGTCTCTCTTTCTGTCCATCCCCAACCCGGCCCTCCCAGATGGAGCGGCTGCAAGCAGAGAATGCAGCAGAATGGGGGAAGCGCGAGCGCCTTGAGACAGAGAAGCTGAACCTGGAGCGGGAGAACAAGAAGTTGCGGGCTCAGATTGAGGACCTGGAGGAGGTGCTGGCCCGAAAACGCCGGCAGACAGCCAGTGCACTGGACACTGATCTCAAAACCATCCAGACTGAGCTCTTTGAGAAAAACAAGGTGAGGCTGTCAGGGGCAGGCCCTGGCATGGGCACCAGTAACAGTGGGGCTTGGCTGTCAGGACCTCAGGAGAAGACTGTTGCCTAAGGAAACCCCACAGGCCAAGAGTGAACTTGACCCTTTGATACCAGAGAGTACTTGGTGCCTACAGCTCTTCCCACTGTTCCCTAGCTGGCTTTGGGCTTCTAGGTAATAAAACCATGTCCCTGCTTGACACTTCCAGCCCCACTCTTTGCTTCTTTCTCAACAGCCTTAGGGCAGTGGTGCCCTAGTTCTAGCTCAGGCTCTGGAGGCATGTCCCTGTCCACATGTACATGCTCAGTGTGGCAGGATTATACAGAAGACATGGGATGCCCTGAATGGGTGGGAGAAGAGATCCCGGCTCCTCTCATGTCAGGCAGTGGTGGCATTGCTAACAAGTCAGCCCATCTATAACCTCTGTTCTTTATGATTGTAACCCCCTGAAATCCATTTGTGACCTACCACTTTAAGAAATCAGGTGGAACAAGTTTACTAAAGAAAATACAGATGAGACACAGTGGTTAGAGTACAGGACTTGAGCTCAGTTCCCTTTCTGGAGCTCAGTGGCTATATGTGATCTTGAGTAAGTCATGTCCCCTGTCTGTGACTCAGTTTCCTCATCTTTAAAAGAGGAATAACTGTGCTGAGCCACCTAAGTGGGGAGGCAGTAGGAATCTCACTTCATTGCTAGCATGTGTGCAGTGCTTGGAGAGCCTTCAAGAGGCCACAGGACAGCAGAGGGTTATCAGTCCCATGGATTAATCACACATCTCTTGTGCCCGCTCTGACCTGAGCGCTACTTATGCCCTAATCACCACCACCCCCTCATAGGAGCTGGCTGACTTGAAGCACATCCATACCAAGCTGAAGAAGCAATACCAGGAGAAGACAGCTGAGCTGGCTCATGCCAACCGCCGTGTGGAGCAGCATGAGGGTGAGGTGAAGAAGCTGCGCTTGCGAGTGGAGGAACTCAAGAAGGAGCTGGCCCAGGCAGAGGATGAGGTTGGTCCATGCACACATGCCCTGCCCATCACTCCAGTGCAGGGGGGTGGGAGCCTGCAGAGTCCAGTGGAGTCACCCTCAGCAAAGAACTGGGATTTGAGGCTGGCCATTCAGATGTCCCCATTGATCAGCAGCAGTGACCCCCAGTCCCTGAGGTCCTGCAGATCGCCCACTGGTCTGATTAGAGGCTGAGAAAGTACTGTGATGCCACTGGGGACCTGGTTGTAGCAACTAGACAGGAAGGACAGTGTTGGGCTGGGACTCAGCAGCTTTGTTGCTTCATTGAATGGAAGGTCAACTTGGACCATCAGCCTTCCCTCTTGAGTATCACAAGACACTTTAGGGCAGTGTTTCTCAACCTTTTAAGCAGCAAGTACCCCCTAACTTTTGAAAATTTTAATAAGGACACGAACACTCAATTTTCCATGGGATTTTATATTTATAGACTAATGTGTGCCATATGTTGGAAGAAGGGCTGTGTATATAAGGCGGTGATATGACAGATGTCTGATCTGGTGTGGGTAGGGTTACCATCTTTTACATAAGGGGTGCACAACTCAAGTTTGTACCTGGACTAGGGGTGATGCTAGCCAAAGCTAGGAGGGCTGAACCCAGTGCCGTGCAAAGTGTGGCATGCCAAATTATTACTGGGGAATTTAAAGCGTCGCACAATGCTTCCATAGTTTTGAGAGGAGGAAAAGAGGCTGAGAGAGAGGAAAAGAGGGCGAGAGAGAGAGAGAAAAGGAGGTAGCTGCTGCCAGCCATGGAGCTGAGGCTGTTCCCAGCAGGCAGCTGGGAGGTTGCAAGCCCTGCTGAAGGCATCCTGGGCTCTGTGGCTGGCAGCAGCTACCCAGAGCCTGGGCTGGCGGGTGCCGCCCGGGGGGGGCCAAAAGGCG